ACTGAAAAACAGTCATGCCATAACAAATCAAAACCTGTTTTTACGTAATGATCCAGATATTTTAAAAAAAACAAAACAACAATAAAAAAACGTCTCTATCTTAAACACGCACGTCGAATGTTTCTCTGAGCTTTTTGTTTGTTTTTGCTCCTCCTCTTGTCCTGCCTTTGAGTCCAGGGGGAGAGACTTTGAAACTAAAGTTGGCAGCATTCCTCGGCGGTGACACACGCTGAAGTATCACCTTATTGCTCACTTTTAGGAAACACGAAAAACACAAAGAGCTCAACCAGATGTTCGAGTTCTGCTCTTAAAAACAGAAGTGTAAACACTCGCTGAAAGGAAAAAAAAAGAACTTCCAACTGTTCATTTTTTTGACACGCTGTGCTGTTTTGTGTGCGTGCAGCCTAAAAATTAAAGCCAGACCAGAAAACGAATGATTTCCCTGTTATTGCTACAACCCACTGTGATTGTGTTTCATGGTAGTCGGAAGTAGCAGACCCGTGGGTGTTGAGGAGATCCCTCTGTGTTCCAGCGGTGTCTCAGACAGGCGTGTTGCCTCACCTGGTGCTGTGTTTACCTCAGATGGTAGGATTAGGAAGCAGCCATGTGGAAGATACGACTCTAATCCATCGTGCCTTTGCTTGGCACTTAGACATGGCCCTCTGCAACACTTCCGCTCTCCTAAAGTTAGAGCAACGCCCTTAAGGAATGTGAGAAATATCAGCACCGTTTCAAGACTCTTGAGCATGCTGCAGCCACGTGGGGTTCAGTTTACCTCGTGGAGGAGGTGGGCGTATGTATGGGTATGGGTGCTGATGATGGCAGCCATCAGCCAGATAGATTCAGATTTATTGGATGGATCTGGGCATCGTTATTTCTCTAGGCTTGTGCCTGGCCTCTACCCCAACGAGATACTTTCATTTTGCTTTTTAAATTTTTTCCCCTCATGTGCACAAAACCCTCTTTCAACGTAGAGTAGCAGATAAGCTGGTATCATGAAAGAAAATCTCTCAGTTAGATAAAATCCTGAATGTTGTCTTTTTAAACTTGCCGACATTGATTAGGCAGTGATAAAAAGCTCATAACCTGCAAGAGGGAAGGCTGACCTCTGCTTGCTCACAGTCTGCTGCTGCACCCCAATCTTTTATAATATAACTTACTGAGCTTCCACGTTTACAATGCTGATATTTTTCTGTCTGGCTGAGTTTCTTTCTTTCTTTCTTTTTAAAGAAATTTCAGGCAAAGTTTCGTTTTTTTCTGCAGAGATGGTTTTAAGTATAAATTAATAAAAATAAAGTGAAGTGCAGCTGCCCGTTTGTTTAAAAGCTATAATGACTTTGCACTGAATGATAAATGCAGCTGTTTAAGGCCTAAATACTGGCTTGCGATAACTTTGATATCTGATTTTCCTTTTTTTTTCACACAGTGCAAAGGACATAATCAAATCTATAAATGAATATGCATTTAATTTACATGTTAAATGTTTTATTACCATTGAAGAAAGGGCGCTACAGCGTTTTTCTTGTGCGTTTCAGAGGACTTGCCCTTGATATCGTGGCCAAATCACCACCCCAATCACAAATGGTGGAAAGCAAAACTCTTATTTATCCAATGTACTGATAATTAAGCTGTTCTCATTAGTTACATAATTGGAAATGTAATTAGCAATAGTAATAATTATTGCATTTAATACCTTTTCTCTTTTAGTTATCAGGCTCATTCAAGCTGGTAATTAGCAGTCGTGAGAATTCTATACTTTCGTCCTAATTCATTTTGGTCGCCAGTTATTTATAGTGTATTTTATATCAATAAATCATTACCATATCCATTTCGATTTTTCAGTAAACATACAAACACCGTGCTCACTCAAATGTTTGTTTCATGTTTTGTGTAATAACAAAGCAAAACTCTATCTGCATAGTTGCAGTTCTACTTTGCCTTAAATAAGCCTTACAGTAAGTAAGTGAGACGGCTCAGCAGCGAGGTTCCGAAAATGGAAAATCTCATTCATATTTTCCGTAAGGATTTTGATTATGAGCAGTAATGTTGTAGCCATCCAAAGCAGACTTACTCTGAGCTACAGCATTGTGAAATGATGGCATGTGCTCCTGTAGAAACCACAAGTCTGTGCGATATCCACCTTGTTTTAACAAAGATGCAGTTTATGCTCTCCCCGAAGGGACGGAGTATGCAGTCGGTTCTGTTCATTAGCTGTCAAGCAGCCACGGTTTTCAAGATATCGTGCTCAAATTTTGTGTCGTGGTAAAACATGAGCTAATCTAGGTATTTTTGAAAACGCCGATTTTTCTATGCGTTTGCACCTTTCGTCCACACGTAAACGGCGTTTTTGGTCACTGAAAACTGAGATTTTTAAAAACTCCGGCCAGGGTGGATATTTTTGAAAACT